TATAATTTGAGGACTTTGAAAATTCCATTTTAAAGAAACTTCCTTACTTGAGAAAATTTTTTTTACACGTTTTTAAAGCTTTTTTTATTTTTGCTAAAATATGAGGGTGGAAAGCATTGAAAGTAACAGAGCTTATCTGTGGACACTCAGCTTGTAGCTGATGCAGTCAGAAACAGGAAGTAAAACATAAAAGTGTAATAAAAAGCTTTTTTCTATCTTTTTCTTTTTTTCTTGTTTGGAAACACACATTTTCTTTTCTGCCCAGGAAGAAATGTTATGCCATTGAAATGATCCTTATTCTCAAAATACACTGCATTTCTTTTAAACAACCTTATCATATCATCTTATTCTGATTATATATATATAATTGATACTTCCAGTTCATTAGTGCTCAGTCATCATAATGAAGTTAATAAATGAGGCAGAGATACACTTCTCCATTGTTTCTCTTGAACTGTGATGTTAATACAATGTAATGCAAAAGAAGAACAAAGGGAGGAGCTAGAGGACACAAAAGCCAATATTTTTTTTCTATTCCTTACACAAAACATTCAGTTCTCAGTTCAATACCCAAGTAGAAAATGTATCAAAAAACATTCTCATCCTTTTTATCTAGAGATAAGTAATGTTGACTATATGCATAGATAATTTTCCAGGATCCTATTTTTTTTCCTAAAGTGAAATTTTAGTAAAACTGAAAATTCTACTGGCACAGTAGGATGCACTGGCAATTCAAGATTGTGATTCTGCAAGAAAATAACACTGCTGTTGAAGCACAAATCTGCAAATCTCATTTCTTCTGTTTTTGTCTGAATTAGCCACAGAAATAGCTTTATTTGAGTAACAAGTTGCTATATCCTATTGCTTCATAAAGCATCCTGTCACATTGCAAGCAGCTACGCAATTTCTCTTTTTGTCTTATTGTCTACATGGATACAAGTACATCAATTTCAAAGGAACTACAGCTGTGGTAATGCACAGATTGAAGTATCAGTTTTTGTGAACTGAGGACAAAGCAAAAGAACATACTGTCCCTCTATGCACAGGTTTGGACCACATTTGAGGGTAACATTTAAGCTAGTACAAAAAAATACACACCATTTTGTAATGCTATAAACACCAGTTTATAATGTTTTATTATTTCTGGTTTTGTATATTGAAAGACTACAGGTACTGGGTAGAACTGAGAAAAAACTGTGATCCTGCTTGCATAACTGAAAATTTAGCAGTAATACTCCATCATTGTGAAATAACATTCACATCTATTTAGCCTAAGCTCAAAACAGATGCTCAGCACGGACGTTACAGAAGCTATGAGTTATTGCAAAAACTGCTGTTGCAACATGTGATTGTAACAGATATGAGCCTCAGTCATCAAGCATTCAACTACTTTGAACATGCATTTTCATTGTATACCTCTAGGAGAAAAGGGTATATTGTGAAAATGTAAACAAAAAAATTACTACCAGACAGTAAAATTAACATTTATGTAAATATGAATATAAGACTGCAGTGTAGAGAGTGCAGCTGTCACTCTGGAAAGAATAAGGTAGTGATCCCTGGTTATTCTCTGCATGCCTCACAATGTTAAAACCACAATGTGACATCCTGTCATCTATATCCCATATACTATTAAAAATCACTAAGAAAGATCAGATAAAGAGCTGCATTATGAAAAGATGAGAAATCTAGTTTATTTGTATATTATTAAGGATTTAGCTAAGTATTTCTGTATGGAGGAAAAAAACAAAAAAACACCACATAAATATTGTAAAATGTTTCCTATTCTCAAATAAGTATGTCTGTTACAAATGTGGTCCCAAGTGATTTCATGTTTGGACTCTGTACTAAAGGCATCCAGATGGTGTAGTAAGAGACTGTTCCAAAAATGTAACTGGCATCCTTGCTGGCAGTGACAGCTTCCAACAACTTAAAGTTGTAATTTCCTTATTCAACAAACAGAGAGAGTTTTGTGACAACACTGGAGAAAATGAGAGTCTTTAAGAATTTATGACATGGTAATCTTCACCTTTTCCATCCAGCTGAGAATGTTCCCTTTAGAGCTAGAGAGCAGTTGTTATCACACATTGCCCTTTTCTTTACCTTCCTCTTTCATAGAAACTGTTTCTAAATCTTCCTGCTCACAGAAAGATATACCTTCAGTCAGGATGAGGAAAAAAATGGTCATGATTATACTCCAGGGCATATATACTTCCCTTTATTACATTTCTTCCTTTTAACTTCACTACGGTCATTATTATTGCCTCATAAAATATGGCAATGGTACCATTATTGCTCCTAGTCCTGAAATGCTATAGATTTGATAGCACAGAGAATAAAGAGGACATAGATTTCAACACACAAAAATCAATTGGAAGTGCTTTCAGGTTAGCTGAGAAGTAAGCATGTAAATTATTAGACCAGTTATGGACCAGTTTCCAGGCTGGCTGCAAACACTAGAAGGTAACTCGCCCATACCCCTGGGTTTTTTAACTTGTCCCTGCTAACTGAATTATGTCTTCAGCAGTATGACCAAAAGAGAAGTTGTAAGTCTCATTTCAATTTTTGGAGAAATTCAGACTTTTTATGTATAGTTTTTATAAAACTTATTCACCGACAATCTTGTGGCCATGATCAATATGATTGCTAGGTTCTGCTTAAAAATATGCTACAACCAATGTTACAGACAAGTTGAGTTTGTCTGCAAAATTATCAGGTAATAACGGTCCAATAGTCATGACTATATGTGACTCATGTCAGTGGCATGAGAACATTTTTACTCTTCTTTACATGATGATTGACATTAAAAATGCTGCCCACTACTCAGGTATTAATTATTTTGCCTTCAAAATGTTCCAAGAAAGAGATTAATTTGGTTTTTTAAATATTTAATGTGAATATAAGCAACACTTATTTAAAGACAAATAACAAATTTTCTGACCTTGTTTATATTTCATAATGGAAAAAAAGGGCACAGACCCAATTTTATTCTTTGAGAACCTTTAAGTAATTGTGTTTGATCAACATATTTTGTTTTCTGAGCCAAGTAAATTACAACTGGCTTCCTTCTAATTTCATTAATTGATACTACAATGATTATTTTCCTAATGCTGAATGCCATAATAAGCCTATGGGTTAAAGCCTATCTGGTTTGCCAAGGACAAACTTCAGAGAAGCAGCACAAGGAAAGATATACCTGTGGAATGAGATTCCACAAAGCCTCTGATAAAACTTCATCAGACCGAGTACCAGAGGTCTGATCAGAGGAGATCCTGTTATGCCCACCTACTAATTGATGACTGTCCCAACATTTTTAAAGACGAGTTTTTCAGAAAGTATGGAAATCATACTCTAATTTCACTTGGAGCAAGTAATGTTATTAACAAAAGTAAACCTCTACTTGTTAGCTTTTCAGATTTTACCATGTTTCTGAACATATTTATATCATAATCATCAAAAGCCTGATATTTTATCTGTTCTGCACACTCCACCTACTTATGATAAGAAGAAGCAGGGTTAGGAGGGACATATCCTATTCTAGTAGCAGACTTATATGTTATAGACTCCTTTTCTTCAGTAACAGATGGTAATTAGTTTTTTTGTTCTGTAAGGCACAACAACGACACAGATCGCTGTTGGCAAATCACCATCAGATTTATTACAGGAGGTTCACATTCTTATTCAGATTATATTAGTGCTTTATTCCATGAGTAATTCCATTGAAACTGATGAAACTACACTTAGTATAAAATTCTAAGTCTGAGAATCTGACCATAATTTCTTCTATCTGCTCTTTCAGCACTTTAGATTATGAAGTGTACATAACAAAATTCAAAAAAATTAAGAAAAATCAGAATTCAGAAGGAGTAATGACTAATAACTTAGTAATAACTAAGGGCTTTTGAGGTAGGTGACAGATTAATGTATTATTTGAAAGAACTATAAGTCACTAACTGCTCAGTTGACACATACCAAAATATTTTCTCTAATCAAATGTACCTGTTTTGTCTCTAGTCAAACTAGAGTCTGTCAGATTGAATCATTTGAGAAAGTTAAATATATTGGCAGTGAAATAATGTTTCAATCATGTAATATATGTCAACCCTTTCTATTTAATCAATGCTATTTGCCACATTCTGTATATATTGTTGTGCATTCTAATGGGCACCTGAGTGAAAACCTTACTCTCACTTCACATTAGCTTATACAGGTATTCAACAGAAGTATTACACTGATACAGATTCACTGAATAAGGAAATTAAATCTTGAATATGTGCTCTATTTTTCTGACTGAAAAAAATTGAACAATACAGACGATTGAATAAAATAGATGTTTCAAGGCAACTGTTTCTGCTAAGTAAATAGGAGGAGTAACATATTCACTTGAAAAAAATAAATGAAGCATGGCTGGGATTTTTCCAGTCACTGTATGGGGTCATTTTTTTTCATTCTAGAAGAGATATATTCTTTTAAAATCAATATATTTGCATCCATCACAGGCTAAGATAATCACCTGGGATGATGTACCTATCCCAAAAATATTTATCTTCTGATTTATACTGCTATCTTTGAAGTCCAGCAGTATGAAGATAAAAGTTTTACTGGTATTGTTAGGAAAAGAACCCTGTAAATCAGGAGAGAATATTAAGTGCTCAATTTTGATGGATTAGCTAGGATTAATACTTAGTCATGGAAGACAAATGTTGACACATCTATAGGCACATTCATGTTAAAAGATATGTTCATTGAACCTATCAACTAAAAAGTCTCTCTGAACTAGATCACTGACAGAATAGCAACTGAAGAAAGGACAAAGAATATTAAACATAAAGACAACTTTTTTGAATCCTTCTAGGAATATCCTTATTCCACTAGAAGTAAAAAAAAAAAAAAAGCATCTGCTGAATTTTAGGCTTTTTTTTTTTTTTTTCACTTGAATAAGAAATAACTAGTAGTTTTGGAACTCAGATAGTGAAAAGATTTACCAAAAGTCAGCAGAACTGGCCTGAGCAGACTTTCTTAATGGATGCCTGTATGCTATGATTATCTGAAATACAAACTTCTGGAATCTAAAAGCTCCTCACATTTACCAAGTGCATCTTCAACAGTGCTATTTATACATCATTAAGTACTATGTAAGTCATCTGGAAATGATTAGCATAAATTGATTTATTTCATAAACCGAAACAGCATTTAAAATGTCTGTGTCTGATATAACAGAAGCTAGGTAGCTCAAGATATATGTCTCCATAGACTGTGGTTTCAGGTTTGATTTAGTGACTCTCTAATCAAATAACTCACTTTTATGTAGAAGCTGTGTCTCAAAGCTTGATACACTCAGTTCCACTTGAAAGCATTTTATCATTCTTCATTACACAGTGTAGAGCCTGACACTTCTGCCCTAATAAAGTCAATCCCAAACAATTTGGAAGAGCCTTTTTAAAGTAAACCCTTTACTTAAAAACAAACCAACAAAAAACCAATACTAATCTTGCCAAGAGTACCAACACCATGACAAAATACTACAGTAACTGTATTTCAGGTATGCAGATAATTTTTTTCCCTAATAAAGAAATCTTCCCTTGTATTTTATTTCTGAGTTCTAATCTGCTTTCCCTTTTATTCTTTCATACAAATATGATTTTCTTCAGGGTCTAAACAACTTCTAAATCTTAACATGGAGATTTGCCTCTGACAGATTTTTTATTTTCTAGGTATCTGCTTCCTTGGCAAACATCTCTTCCAAATGAAACAGCTTCCTTGAATGTATAAACTGCATAATCTCTCAGCCCCAAAATTATTTTTCTCATATCTTACCTTATTTTTTTTCCAGTACTGACCCAACTCCAGCCAAATTCTTTAAAACAAGGTCAAATTCAGCTATCAAACCAGAATAAGACAAAGAATTTGTGTTCAACATTGCGTATCCTTTTCACTCTTCTGTTACTATTTCATATTGTCTGTTGACATTCTTTAAGTATCACAGGTGAACAGATTCCTTCTGAGAAGATATGACATGTTTTACTAGAATGTAAGATTTAACATAATCCTTTTTATTGTAATAGCTAAAAAGCTATTAGTAAAAATCATGCAAATGGATAGTGAAAATATGTATCAGATTTAAAGATGTACAACATCTACAAAGAAACTTTCAAGAGCATGATACAGGTTAAGTATTTCTAGATCTAAATACAAATGGACTTCAGAAGTGTTTGATATCTTAACCCGTGGTTGGATCAGAAGTTTCCAGGTGTATGACTTTTACTACAACTGTAAAAGTACTCTTTCTAGTGACAGTGATTTTCTTTCAACCTATCAGATCCCTATTTCAAATTTTTCACAGATCAGAGTCCCTAATAGTATTTCAGTAGACTTTGCAGTTGCACTTTACAAATCCTCATATTTCTGTCTAACCTTAGGCACACAGCCTGCGTGACAAAGGCACAAGCCTGTGTTCCAAGTACACTCTAATGAGCCTTCTAATTTAGACTCATATAGAGATGTGTTAAATTGGACAGTCAGGATCTCACCCATGCTGACAAAGGGACTATTTTTCAAGCAGATATTAGACAGAACAATGGCAGAATCTGATTTAAAACAGACAGTAATTGTAGCAGGTCTAGGACATTCTGTCCTGAAACATAATACATGTGTTGAGTCTAACAATTTTTTTTTCTTCCGAATACTGTGAATGCTCTAAAAGTTGCATTAAATATTCATCTGTTTCTGAGTATAAGCATCCAATCCTTCCATATTTTTGGGTTTGCTGCTCTACATTCTTTCAGGAGTTCAGTAGTTATTTAAAGAGCTATTGCTTTTACCATGCCAGGCTTAGGAAAACACAGTCCTTCTCAGAAATCAATTTTTAATAAAAATTCACAACTTGTTACAGATAAACTAACAAACATGCAGTTTATTCTATTATTCTAAGACTTAAAAATGAAAAATGTACTTACAATGACAGAACATCCTTTGACCTCTTCCAATAGAAAGCTTGATTACCTGTCATTTTTCAAGCAGCAGGATGTTTTGAAAAATACTCCCAATACTTTAAATGTTCTGCAAAAAACAGTATATAGCTGAATAACCAAGGATAACTCACACTCAATTACTTACTAACATTTCATTTTAGTCACAATTTTGTTGATGGATTGTGTTGATATGTGCTGTGAATTCAGAGAATTTGGGTAAAATGATTTTCTGAGAACATTTATGCAAGCAAAACACTTGGTGTTCATATAAAGCAAACACAAAAGATGAAAACACAAAATAAAAATATTTTTCAAAGTATTGGAAGAGTCTTACAAGTTTTGCAATTGCTGAATTCTATAACTTTATCAACTTAAGTAGCATCTGATTAATAGTTCTTTTCAAAGTGACTAGAATACCCCATATTTTAAATTTACCGACGACCTAACTATAACCCAACCATAAATACACTTAATTTTGTTATGAAATTTGAAGATCCATTCATATAATAAGTTAAGGGTTGTTTCTCTCAGGCCTACATATATGAGGAAAATCAGTGCAAATCTTGGACAGTTCAATTTCCAGGCTTTGCACAGTCCTTTTAATGTTGATGTTTTATTGGCAGAAAGCTATTTGCTGGTGGCACCAACTCTCTGTAGCAGAATTTCACTTCAGCCCAAGTCTGACTGTATTGTATATGGTCTCCATTTACCCTTCTAGATTGGGAAAAGTGGGTGTTTTGTTATCAGCATGGCAGAAGTCCTACCAACCATTTCAGGTATGAATAAGGCATATAGTGGGCAATGGTTTAAATGTGTGAAGACAGTTCTGTTTCTGGTGTCATGAAGGCCAGCTTTTGCCTGAGTCAGTAGTCTTGAGAGGTATTTCCTCTTCAGAAGTATTAAGCTTTTATATTGTGTATGTGGGTTCACTTTCAATATCATGCAACTGATTTGTATCAATAGGTTAAATTTCAGACAATTTGGGTGACAGGAAATACAAGGACTTCACTGAAATGTCTAACATTCAACAAAAAGTTTAAAAATTCGAAATCAAATAAAACAAAATATTTGATCATGGATATTACAGTGAAAATGAAACAAGAATTTAAAAACAACATTTAAAGAAGGATACTTGTTACCTTTAACATTTATTACTGCCTGCTTTCTCTATTTTTTTAATTACTGGCATTATCATGGAACTGCTAAGACACTTGATATTTGTAGTGATCTGTAACTGAAAAATGTATTGCAGAAACAAAAAGCCCAGCTCTTGCAAGGCTTAGAGGGTAGCAGTGAACCTGTTTGAATTCATCAAGCTACAAGAGGAAACAAAAAGTTAGCAGATCAGCTATGCTGAAGTATCTCATGCCCTAGTTAGATGACCATGGAATGTTTGTTATTCACACTGATAACTCATGTATCTAACACAGTAAATGAAAGCACCTGGAATTTATCTAATTTCAAAAGATTCAGAATGATGGCCAAAGCCACTCCAAATTAAAATTTCCAAAACTCTGATCAGCTCACTTTCTCTCTAAACTTTGCTAATAATCTTCTCACCAAGGAATGGTAGCTATTACTTTAATGAAGTAGCTGTTAAATTAATGATGTGAGAGACATATAATTGAAGAGAAAATTGTATGCAATCAGATATTTTGTTTCAAAAACGGCCATTAACAAAATCTGGGCCTCTGTATGCAGTCAAATGTATTTTGCCACTGAGGCTGACAGGAATCTTTTCAAAATTCCAGTGGTTATATATATCTGTGTTTTAAAATATAAGTAAGTTTTCCCAATGTAGATTTTTCAAGGGTTTGGTTTGTTTGGGTTTTGGTTCAGTTTTTTTTTTTTTCAGTACACAGGAATAGTTTATTTTCACTTACATATGTCTCAAGAAAACCACAGCAAAATCCTCCAAATCTCAAATGAATATTAATATTCATTCCTTATGTTTTACTTTCAACAGCACATTGCTGTATACATTTTAATCATGAATATGCCTGACACTGCCCAGGCAATCAATTTAGCAGCTCAACAAATCTGAGCAATACCTTGAATTAACAGAAGTAAAATATCCACATATAAAAGAGCAAAATATCCTCAGCTGGGTTAGCTCTTTTGCTGTTTGGGACTAGACCAGCAACCAAAGCACATATTGCACCCAATCATGTTTTTTCTTGTGGCAAAATAAAACTGACTTAACAGAGCTGATATGAGCAGTACTGACTGAAAACCCCAAACAATCTGACTGCAAAGAATCTGATCACAGCTGCAGTGTATTTTTGAGATTGCATTTTAATCTCAAAAGACTTCTGAATCCAAGAAGACTAAATCATCCCTGAAAATGCATCTGGCAACTAGGAAGTCGAAGTTTCATATATTTTTTAAATCACCTATCATGGTTTTGCTAGAGATGGCAGATAAGCACCACAAAGCCCCTCACTCACTGTCCCTTTCACCCCCAAGAGGGATGGGGGAGAGAATTAGAAGCTGAAAGTGAGAAAACTGAGTTGACATAAAAACAGCTTAGTAATTAGAAATCAGTACTATTAAAAAAAAAAAAAAAAAAGAAAACAGGAAAAAATATCAAAGAGAAGAAAATAAAACCCAATAAAGTGATGGAAATTAAAATAATGTCTTACCACCAACTGACCAATGCCCAGCTAATTCTTGAGCACTACCCACCTCCCAAATTTCCCAACAGTTTTATAAACTGAGCATGACCTTTTGGTCAGCTGGGGTCAGCTGTCCCAAATGTGTACCCTCTGAGCTTCCCTGCACCCCAGCCAACCTGCTGGAAGTCTGAGGAGCAGAAAAGACCTCCCTGCTATGTAAGCTCTCCTCAGCAGTAACAAAACCAGTGAGTTATCAACCACTGAGTTATCAACACCTTTTTCAGCAAGACACAGCCCCATTATAATCATGTTATTCAGTTATCACGAAAAAATTTAATTCTGCCTCAGCCAAAACCACTACAATACCCTAAGTCTATATTTTACACTGCCTCTTCACTTATGCCAATACAAGTATTTGTGCAGCCAAGAGGTGAAAATATTATTTTCTCCCTAACCCTATATACAGTGTGCTTGGTAGAAATACAAAGAAAAAACCCAAAGGCAAGAAAAAAACCAAAATCTAAGGAACTTCCATTTTTATCATAATAAAAGAAAATGTGTATTTTGAAATCTGGAAAAAATCCCTGAGAATTGCTTCCTATCTGACACAAAATGTTTGTCCTCCATCCCACACATATCTGACAATTTTCTGAAATACCAGCAGACCCTGGCACTCTCTTCTACATTTAACATTTAGCAGGCATTAGGTACACAAAGCCAAAGGGACCAGAAGACATGGAAGGGATCCACAAAAGATTCATCTGGTATTTCAGGAGAACTTACCCAGCTCCTCCTGTCAGCTCTTAACTATAAAGGAGCTAAAAGTTCTTTATGATGGAAAACTGACAAGGGTCTTGATGGACTTCTGATGGTATAAACTACAGCTTTTCATAGAGATTATTGCTGTGGACAAAAGTTTGCTGTAGACAAACACAGCTGTCTACACCAGTTGTTTTTTTAGAGTTAACATAAACATTCACTGCCCCACACAGCTTTCAGCCAGAGGACTGTGACAGTCACAAAGACCTAAAGTTGGAGATCATGCCTTTTGTTACAGAGTCATTCCCAAGAGAATCTCATAAATAAATTTTAAAGATCAAACATTCAATACCTGTGTATTATAAAGCTAATTATTTTTTTTGAACTGTAACCATAGCATTTAACCTCAACCACAATGTAAGGTCAAGGTTTTATATTATTCTCAGTGACTTTTAAAATACATGAGACAAGACCAAAAAACCAATACAATAATAGACTAAATTAAACTTTTATGGCTTTTTGCTTTAATTGAAAAAATGAGGCAGTGATCATAATGAAAAACAGACTGCCCTCTTATCTTAAGCTGCAACATCTCTTTGCTTATTAAAACTTCACTAGCGCACTTGTTTCTATTAAAGTTCAAAATATTTTTTGAAAGTTTGCCAAGCGTAGGCTTTTTGCAATGAAAGCATGAAATTTTATGCTGCTTAAACAAACATTTATTGAAAATAATGTTTACTCTACACAGCCAGTACACATTTGGTATTCTGTACAGGAAATTCCTTTTTTATTTTTTAATTGAATTTGTCAATAATTCTTCTCAGTTTTGTCTCAGTTTCTCTAAGACAAGAGTGTAGTTTGAGAGGACTTACAAACAAATAGCTTCTGGAAAACATTTACGCTTCATTGACCCCACCAATTCTATCATACCTGTATGTTAATAGCTGTATCTAGGTTCTAAATAACTATATCAAAATTCATAATATGTTTCGAGGTACACAAAAAGAAATCAATGAAAGCTCGTGACCTGAATTCTTTCTGGTAAGCATTATTATGAAACTGTGGCTTATCTCATGGCACTTTTCTAATAACTTCCACAGCACTATGCAGAACCCAGCAGATGGAACCTACAGGATGGATCACCAGCTCTAGGGAGAATTTCCCATAGATGGAGGTCAGACACAGTGTTTTAATCTTCAACATTTGTTTCATCTATACTGTATGTAAGTATGAATACTGCAGAAAGTTAGCTCTGTGCTTTGAGCTTTTGGGGTGGCACAGCGACACCGAGTGCAGCTGGTCCTCGGTTCATTCCTTTTAGACAAATATTCCACAGTGAAAGGTACACATACGCAACGCGATGAGGCAAAATATTTACACACTTATAAATATTTCTTTTTAAGAAGAAAAACAAAGGCAATTTCCTACGTATTTCAAGGGCCGAGGTGCCGGGCCCGTGTCGGGGCTGCCCGGCCCGGCCCCAGGAGGTGTCGGCGGCTGCGGCGGCCCCATGGTNTGTGGCTCGGTTCCCCTGGCTCAGCCCTGGCTGCCGGGCAGCGTTTTGCCCTCCCTTGGCCAGGCTTTCCCCGGGGCTCTCGCCCGCCCGCCCGTGGCTGAAGGGCTCAGCCGGGCCCGGCCCTGGGGCCGCTGCAGCCGCCGGCACCGCCTGGGGCCGGGCCGGGCAACCCTGGCACCTGGGCACTTAAACCCTGTTCAGAGGAGGAAGGAGGCCAACAACTGACCGTAACAAGTGTTTTGTTTTGTTTTTTCTGGTTTTTGGGGGTTTTTTTTTGCTTGTGTTTTTTGTTTTGTTTTTTGTTTATCTCATTTCAAAACCTGAAATCTAGCTGGCATGCGCAGCTCCCTGAAGAGTTTTGCAAAGATTTCACTATCTGACAAGCAAATATTCAGATGGAGTTACCTACATATATAAAAAAACATGCACATTTTGTTGTACTGGACACAGAAGAAAAATTAGTATCTCACGTCTGTATTACAGAAACTGAGATCTGTGTTCTTTAAATCATAATGAAGATCATTAAAAAGCAAAGCTTAAAAGTATGAAAAGGACAGAAACTTGGCAAATGGATAGTTTTATACTCTACCTGGTTGCATAATCTTTGAATGAAATATCTTTTCATATTAACAGTGTATGAGAAAATTCCTTCCACGGTTAAGAGAAAAATAATATTTTATTTTAAAAAGAAAGCAAACTCAAAATGTTCATATTCCAGAGAAGTTTCAATATCTCTTTAGTGAGAAAATTTTGGTTGATATAAGAATATACAAATTCTTGTTCTATTCTTGTTAAGCATAAACATTTTAAGTAGAACAGCATAAGAAGAAACTTTACTTAGCATTCCTGTTTTGGGTTTTTTTCAGCTTCCTATTTAATTTGAATAACTGGCTCCTGATACCATTTGCTCCCAAAAGTGTTTGTATTTCTTTTCAGCTTTCAAATCAGTTAATTTTGATCAGCATGTGTTTCCCTTTAAATCTTTTTACTATTGAGTTTCTGGTATATTCAAAAAAGATAATTCATCCATATTTCTTCTTCTAAAAATTATCTTCTGAGGTCCTTTCTATGTTGTGGTAATTTGAAAAGTGACTTTTGCATAAATTATATGGAAATCATCTAGTCATTCCTGATTTCAGAGGAGATTTAATTCAGAGATATTTGAAACACAGGCTCTGCAAATTTGTACTGCATGATAATTAGGGCACGAAGCTCTGCATTGTATATAACTTGGCCACTTTTATCAACATGAACTTTGAATGATTTATATCTAGCACTACTAGCAGCTAGAAATAACATCCATTTATGTTTGGAGGCAGTTCCCAGCTGGTGCTAGAGCTGGAAGTACTTTAGATAGAGTGGGAGATCTTAAACTCAGTGGCTTATCGTTAAATAGTTGGATTTCAAGTTAGAATGTTATCCTGAATTACACAGAGGTAAATACTGAGCCAGGTTGAATTCTAGTGATGTCTGACAGGGCATTAATCAATTGTAAATCAATTTTTCTTCTCATGAACTAAGACAACAGGAACTGAATTTCTTTAATACAGACTACTTGTCTTTCTCAAAGTCTTTTAGCGTGATCTGTCACCATGGATTTATAAAGATATTGTGGAAGAATTTTTCATAAATAACAGGTTAAATGTAGTAGACAAAGTTCTTTATGATAGCCTAAAGACCATGTTTTAGTTAGTTGCTCTATGGAAGACTGCATGGCTAAAATAAGTTGTGAATTTTTTACTACAAGAAGGCTTTATTTTGTCTTTTTATGTTGGGATGTGTGTTTCACAGACTGAGTGATTTTTAAGGAATTCTTAGGCTAGAGAATCAGCAGTCTAATGTGATAAAGGTGTTTCTCCTCACTTGTTAACGACTTTTTCAGAATGAGCTTGTGGGTTGTGAAAGTATTAAGTGAATTACTCTTCTTAATTACTCTGAATTAATTCAAAGGTAACCCATTACCCTTAAGCTGATTTAATTCCAAGTTGAACATCAGACTGCTGGCTTCATGAAGTGACTGCATAATTACAAAGATATTTATTGTTATTCACTATGTTACCCTGACTATTTGTAATATAGGCTGAGAACACAGGCTGTTGAACAATAATTCAACAGCATGAAAACACAACTTTTATAAGGAAATAAAAATCTAATTGTATGTCCCACATAATCAAATCATTCAGCCAAATAGGGATTAAAAGACATCTGAAAAACTAAAAAAAAAGGGTAGCTCCACATTGAAAAGGCTATCAAGTTTCCATGCCTGATTGAAATGTTTGTCGCTTCATTTTAGTTACTGAAGATGAAGTAATTGATCATGAAAGTGAAAAAAGCTTTTGAAAATTTTTACTGAAAGATACTTCTGCAGGATGTGAATTGATGAAGTGAGGTTGGGTTGTCAAAAAACAGAGCTAAAATTCAACTAAGTCATAATCACCAACTTTTGTGTATAGTACACAGGATTGATGAATGATGAGGAATTGTCCTACAGATACAAATTTGGCTGCTGTGTTCATAGAAAGAATCAAAGAAAGAGGAGATAATATTGTAAGTGGGAAATACGCAGGGTATTAAATGGAAAAGAAGATTGATTTTATTAGGTGGTTAGGTAATATGCAATTTGAATATCTCTGATCAGTGTGAATACAGAAAAAAGCCCATTTTTTTCTATTAGAATTTGGGATTTTTAAAAGAAGATATGCTAACTTTCTTCACATCTAATCCTCAGATATGAAGACATAAATCAGATTTTGATCAAAATTGAAAACATTTTAAAACGTTCTTAAAATTAATAGGATTGGTAAGTTTTTAGAAAAAATGAGTCTGTAATTTAAATGCATTAAGAGAAACTAATCACAAATATACTTTTCCTTAATCATTCATGAGAAAAACTCTTAAGATCCAATTTCTGATAAAAGTAGGATTTGAAATAAAGTAAAGCAAACAGTTTTGTAAGCAAACTTGGTTTTGTACAGTCCTATATTATTAGTTTCTAAAATAAATTTTTCAAATAAGCATTTTTACCTCCATATGGCTGTTCCATGTAATGTCCCAGCATTGTGGTGAACACCAGCAGGAAGAAGGTAAAACAAATTCTGAAGTGCCATTATGATCACTGATACTTCATACTTCTGTGTAAGTAACCTTCTGTGTACATATGTACATTCATTCCTTTCAAAACACACCTTCTACAAACACAGGTAAAGGCTTAACTTCACATTTACTGTTATTCCCAGTTTGTCAATCCCATCTTTAATAGTCCCTGCTAACATTTTTAACATCTATTTCAAAGTATTTTTTTTCACTGAAGATGGTAGCTTTGCGCAGCAAAATACTGGGGTTAGTTATATATTTAGGAGAAGATAAAGAGAAGCTCCAGTGAACTGAAGCTACATACATAGCTAATTTTTCTGTTTGTTTTTGGTTTTGTTTTCTGTTTAGTTTTTACTGGCCATTAATAAAAACTCAAGATGTGTCCCTCTATTTCCAACATCTGACTCACAGATTGGAATAACTGAGTTACAGGCCAGAGCCAAACAGAGGAATTGTTGTTGGACATAGACAGAAAAGTTCACAAGTTCCTATCTGGACAAAAAGTAGACATAAGTTTTCTTAAGCTGTTTTATGTTGGGTTTGGGAATTTGTAAATGCAGATGATAAAGAATGTAATCACAAGTAAATCTGCTTATATCTTCTTGCCACTTGTTTGAAATCTTGTTTCACATTAAATGAAGCTCAGTCTTGGCACTTCATCAAAATCCAAGTACCAAAAATAGGTTTATGCCAAGCAGTAGGTGTTCACCTCATACAGATAGAAGGAGATATAAAATTTAAGATTTCACATAGGTATTTTATTGTGTCACACCTGGTCACCTGTTTTGTATTGGTACCTTCCATCTGTATCTTGTGCCTCTCAGCCATGAAGAAAAGAGATGGGAAATGAAACTATCTGAATAAAATCTACCCCTGAGGACCTTTGCTGTAAAAATTTTTAAAATGTGATTGCTGTAGCATTGGGAAGGAGGGATTAAGAAAGTCTGAGTGGTAAAATTGTCTTGTTCCTATCATTTTCACCACAGAATAACACAGAGAAAATTAATTTAAAATTAGTTGTAAAAATAATAAACAAGGAAAAAAACCCCAAACACATTTGAATAATATCTGTATTTTGAAGTACTACTTTTTAAAAAATAAAATAGTAGTTCAACTTAAACATTCTAAGTTTAACCTGTCTTTCCTTAACCTGTCAGTGTGTTGTTCTAAACCTTTATTCCCTTTTTAATTTGCTATCACTCCAATTTTATTTTGTCTTTATTTTATATTTATAGTACAATAAGATACAAGGCAATTGATACCTAAATTTCAGTGAATATGATGCTCCTTGGAAAGAAACAAAGCATCCCCAGAAATCAACTAATTCATGTAGCGAAAGAAGCTGAGGATAAGATAAAAAAGGAGGAAGATGAGTTTAATCAAAATACTGTGACTTCCATTTAAATTGCTATATTTTCTGAAAGACATAGAAGATGACAATAAATCTTATATATGTTTTAGACAACATCTCATTTACTAAGTTAACGTAGAGTGCCAAAAATATAACATCAGTAACAATTCTCCTTGTCTAGGAAAAGACATGTTCCATTCTTTTTCCTGATGACATATATACCAAGAGCATAACTCTGAATAATTGTGAGAATAAAACTTTCATTTACAAGCACATTTGAAGTATACAGGACTGAAGCAAAATTGTAAAAGTAGTTCTAGCTGACACCACTTTGTCTACTGAAGCTTGCTTATTTAATTTGTTTGCTATCACTATGTGACTCTAATGAGTTTCGCTTTAATGACATATGTATAATAAAAATTCCTTTTACTAGAACCTCCATCTCTGAGGGAGATGCCTGTATATTTCTCTCTTTTCTGTGCTTGGTAATAAATTATAAAATTAGGATGACAGAATTATTAAGAGTAATATTTTCTTGTTGTGTAATTCAATATTTATTCTCATTTATCTTCTTGTGTTAGTGCTTTTAAAAATATGAATCCAGCTCTTCTTCCAGAAGATGAGTTATTTAGCATCTAGCTGACAGCTGATAGTCAACTTTTTTTTTTTTATAATATGAAAGAATTATCACTATGTCAGTAGAAGGTGATTCTTTCTCTCTCCTCAAGTTTCTGTTTGTACGTAATTCATCTGACAATGATTTAATGGGACCACCTTAAAAAT